ACTGACTGACTGAGTGAGATTGACTGACTGACTGACTGACTGACTGAGACTGACTGACTGACTGAGTGAGTGATACTGACTCTGACTGAGTGAGACTGACTGACTGACTGAGTGATGACTGACTGAGTGAGTGATACTGACTGACTGACTGAGTGAGACTGACTGACTGACTGAGTGACTGACTGACTGACTGAGTGATGACTGACTGACTGACTGACTGGCTGACATTCACTCACATGGAGGTCTAAGATCCCTGTGTCGGGGAAGTAATGACAGTCTTTGCAGGGGGACCCATGCCCTCCACTTCCATGCCAGTGGGGGTGTATACGCTTGGCAGCAGTGGAAAATACTTGTACTGTTCATGCACAGTTCGTCGTGCTTCACCTAAGAGAGCAACCACCAACCTGCTATGGATATGGTGGATTGTTCAGAATAGTCTGAGAAGACCTCTTGTTCGAAAATCAAACTTTTAGTCCCCTCAAAGTAGGAAGAAAAGTTCAAAAGACCACAGATTCCCTTTCAAGTATCTAGTTGACCATGTCAGAATAGTGAAGACCATATAGTACATGAAGTCTGAAAGGTGTTCTATCTATGCCAGAACCACCCTATTGACGGGGATTATTGGCACCCTATTCCACCCATGAACAAGCTTCCCAATCTGGACAGCCTTCAATATGGTCATGTCAAAGTGTCAAGATGCATGGCAACAGGGGCAAGGGCACACTAACCCTCCCTCCAACGATCATGCAACAATCATGGAAGGGGATAGCGCAGCCCCTCAGTAAAGGACAACCGTCGTTGTTTCTGGGCCGTGTTCCACTTCCATCTTTGTTGGAACAATAAAACCTCACCTTCCCCGGCTCCAGAATTGTTTCACATCTCTGGCGGGCGCACAGCAAGGGCAAGGGCACACAAAAACTGCGTAGTGTTTTCAGAGATTGTTATGTTCAACCTTTACTCGGGACGTTTGAACCCACTGACTCATGTATTTTGCCAGGGGATGACCCACAGGCCCACAGGTCCTCATATGCTTTGTGAGTTGAAACCACCAACCACTTAAGCCTTTGGTTCCGGTGAGGTGGTGCGAGCGGTGGAGGACCCCGCCGAGTTCTTCGCATCGCTCTGCGCCGCCCGGAGAAGGTCGACAGAGACGGTCACGGCGGTCAAAGGCTCGCTCAATCAAGCTCAACAACGTATGCTTACCTGGTTGTGTTTTAATTTAAGGTCATTGTTTATATGTTCCCTCATAGGTCAATCCCTTCTGGGGAATTATTACTTTTGTTATTCTACCCGGTTCCTCATACCCGGTTCCTCAAAGCAAATCCAAGTTGAAAGACAGTCGAGGATGGCCCTAGTCGTTGCCTTCCTCGTGCAGCCGATATAATACAGTCGGCAGGCCTGAGACTCCCTCTTGGCGGCGTGGAATACAGAAAGTTGAACAGTTTTCTCCCTCTCTTTTCGTGACATGGAAGCTGTTCAACTTTATTCTGGTGACAGGAAGAAAGCTGTTCTCCCCCTCTGTTCAGCTTACCAGTTGAGTATGCTTTTCTGTTGACATGGAAGACGATACTCTTCGTTTTTTATGGGTCTTGGACTCCGCGAAGAGGGGCATCGCTTCGATTGAGCCACCTCGTCTTCGTTCTTCGACGTCTCAGCCCATCCACTGGGGGCACGCGAACGAGCACACGAGGTTCAACCTCTTTGATTTCCAGAGCTGCGTTCAGGATCAGATTCGTGGTAAGACAAATGATTCGGTGATCCAATGCCTTTACCTATTAGGGTCTTGAGTTCCATCCTCTCGTGGTGACTGGGGATCTATACGTGTTTAAAAGAGTTAGGTGATGTTAGGTAATTATACCTGACCCTTATGACAATGTTGTGCGCAGTAAAGAATTACACCTGGAAACAATTCCTCAGTGGATCTATTCCAAAAAGTGTTTCCTCTGGTCGACTGCTCCACAGAAGTCTCCGAGGAACAGCTTCCCATCCTGCGCGTCTATGCGCACCAAGAGTTCTGCGACGAGGAGCTGCAGATCGAGGCCGGGTCTACTTGTTGGTTTCGCTGGTGTCTCTGCGAAGCGGTGGTGAGGATCACCACGGGAAGATTGGTTTTGAGGAGAATTTAGTTCGGGCAGGTTGGATCCCATGTAGCAGAACGTCACAGAGGGTTCAATGAGTTTAGGATAGTTTAGGGTCTTATCATGCCAACTCTGTGAGCCCCTTTGCAATTTCATGTTTTTGCTAGGGTAGGAAACCAAGCGTTTGCTTTTTCAATCGAGCCAATCCGTTTGGCTGATTGCTTTTGGGCTTTTGCATGATCCCTATCTGTATCCAGTGGAGAAGCTTTAATAACCTTTTTAAGGGGGAGATGGAGAGCACCCCACCAACAGGTGGAGGTCAATCGGTGAACTTCTATTGTCCAAGGGATCTCCGGCTCAGCATCGACAGGTCAGTGGTGAGGTGTTTTTTTCCGCTACTCCAAGGATCACTCCAGATCCACTGCCCACGAATCTGAGGTGCGGTGACCTTTTTCGACACTCTTATAGGGTCCAGTCGCACCTTCAAGGTATTTGTATCCCTATATCGGGGAACCCTGAAACATCCTGAAACCATCCCGCGGAGCTGTTTTGAGATATAGGGCCCTATAGGACACCATCCCGACAAAGCTTCCTTATACCAGTCCCTTCTGTCCCATGCTTTCATCACCTGGTCCCGTTTGGGGCGGTTCGTTGGATCCGCCAGGCATCGGTGCGGCGGGTCCTGGCGCAGCACGGCGCGGAGCTCTGCACCTACTGGGGCGCCCTCACTGTGCTTTCGGCCGCACCGGGGGTCTTCGGCTGGGGAGGTGGTTCTGTTTTTCGGGTGAAACCGTGTGAAATGGCGTAAGTCAGAGAGGTGTTCCAAGAGCCACTGCCGTGTTTTGTCAATTCAATTTGTTCATTGTGTTTCTCGTTTTTGATAGTGATGTGGGTTTCGTGCATAGAAAAGCGAAGCGGTCAAGGAGACTGGCAAGATCCCGACTGCACTGGGGCGGGCGTTTTTGAGGTGGCAGTTTGGTTTGGTTTTGATTAAAGTAATGAACGTGTGCTTTAAGGTTGCTTTGAGATCTAGAAATTGTTAGGGCCATGCCCAGCTTCGGCATGCTTTGGCTGATACCAGCAGATTGATTCACGCACCAATCTGCGTCATTTGATGGCTCTAGAATTTTCGCACTCCCAAGTTTGGAAGAGGACCCTCGCCCGGTGAATCAGCATACATTTGGGTAGCAAGTCAACAGACAAACGCCAAGCCTTCCAGAGGAGCTGGGGTTTTCCAAGTCGCTGGCGATTGGCCGGAAACTTGACCTATCCCAGACGCTCCATGTATGCCATATATGCATACATTGGGGTGGTTTGGGGGGTCAATGGAGGCATATATTCCAGTCCATGGAGTGTATGGGCATATGTTCCACTGCACCAGGCCGTGAACTTCCTTTCAATGGATCATCGCCACCCCCTTTTTTCGCTGTGTGGAAACGACGAGACCAAGCAGTGCTGAGCCTCAGGTGCACCACATCGACGACCTGGGCTTTGATGCACGAGACAGGCGCATGACCGCAGGGAGAAGGTTGAACCAAATCTCGTTTTGTTTGGAAAATGTGGTGGGTGCGTGACAGGAAATTCAGTGACCCCCAACCAATGGGTCCAAGGTGCCTTCCACCAAGGCTCTTGAGGCATTGAAAGTTTACCTATAGTTTATGCCAAACACCTGTTGAGGACTTTGGGTTTGCAACTGGGTTGTTGTGTTTTGTGCGCATCCGCTTAAATGGCTATGCGGATTTGTTCCTTCAGCTTTTGCGCAGGGCTTTATAATCTACGGTGTTTGTCCACTGCTGTTGGGGGGAGCTGTTCAGGAACCGAACCCGTCCTGCGCACCGAGTGTTCCGCAGCTGGGATGACCTGGGAGTTGGGGGGAGCTTTTAGGGGTTGCAGCTTGCAGGATGTTGCAGGTGTTGGGTCTAGGGGGAGGCAAAAATATAAATTAGGAGGGAACCTACCTATAGTGATGAAACGTAGATCGCTTGAACAAGCTGTTTGGTGGGAATTGGGGTACTACAAAACGAACAGGGATCTGTTTCATTGGTTCACCAAAACATGTGTTTACGGGATTGGTGTTCGCATGTTCACTGACCCTAGCTCCCCTACTTTTTCGGGCACAGTTCGGTGAATCATGTCTTTTCCAGGGATCCCATTCCATAACGCCTAGCTGCCTAGTTGTGCATCCAGCACATCCCATTCCTGGGAGATGAAGAGATTGTCCTCCGCTTGTCGATGTTCCGCCGCCGGGAAACAGGAACCAGATGCCCTGGTACAAGGGCGAGTTCCAACGCGCCGCCAAGCGGCGGCCCATTCGCGAGGACCGGGACAGTCGTGGGTGGAGCGATAGAGAGCGATGGAAGGAAGAGGCTAGAGCTAGAGGGGGTTTTCAATATGTTCAAGACGTTTTTGGTGCATGCTTGCCAAAGGATGTATTGTGCCTGCAAGAATACAGCCATTGACAAACCCACCAATTCACCCATCATTGAATATTGTTTACGATTTCAACGCTCGTTTGCTTCTGTTCTTAGATCCTGAGCTGTGGAAGGCCATCATCGATCGCTTGACTGTGCAGTTTAGCACAGAATCAAGCTACAAGTTCAACTCCGGGGGCACTCACTGTTGTCCTGGTCATTGTTCTTCCTTAATGCAGACGATTGCTTCGGTCTCAACAAGCTTTTGCAGAAGTCTGTGCCTAAGGTGCCTTTAAGTACCTTATGTTGTAATTGTAGAACGATATCAACGCAACGCGCCGTTTGCAGCCACACAGCCATGGGGCAAAGTTCAAGTGTGCCAAGCAGGCCTCATTCACCCCGCTGGCGTGCTGAGATGCTTGCTTCCAAGCCAAGTTGACCGTTGACCCGTTTGGTCTCTGGATGTTGGGATTGTCTCAGGTGGATATCCCAATGGAAGGCCCGATTCGAAGCTCTCCTAATGGAGAAATTCCACCAATCCAGGCGCCACGGGATCGAAGCCCTGCCCTGCAACCAAGGAGCTCCCTGGTACACTGGCTGTCGCCGTGTGCTCGCCACGCCGACACACGTCGGCCGGCGTGACGCCGACACTTGCGCAGAGGATGGGCCAAAATTTCGGGCTTGGTCTCGGAGACCAGGAGAAAGGCGATGTGCTCGACCACCAAACCTTGCAGTTCCTCGAAGTCCTGGCGGTTTGCTCGATAGTTGGTCCTGGCAAGTTGGCTGCCAAGACGGACACAGTGACCAAGAAGAAGGGAGACAAGCCCGGAGACGGAAGGAAGACATGCTGTCCCGCAGCAAGGCGGACACTCTTAGAAAGCATTGAGAACCCCTAACAGTAACCTGTTTGGGGAAAAAGAGGAAAACAGGAGGACAAGGTCCGGAGACTGGTTGGCAGCCGCCCAAGCTGCACACACAGAAGAAGCACAAAAAGAGGACAACAGGCGGAAAAGAACAGAACCAGTGCCAAGAGGAAGAGGACAAGAAGAGCCGCAAGGAGGACAAGAAGAGGACACCAGAAGGACAAAAGGACACCAAGAAGACAAGAGAAGTAAACCATGAGGACAAGAGCAGTACACAAGGAGGACAAGAAGAGGACAGGAGGAGAGACCAGGAGAACGAGGGGTGACCAGCGCAGCCAGGAAACCAGCAGAACAACTGCAAGCACCAGGAGGACAAGAAGAGGACAAGAGAAGGACAGCAAGAGCACAGAGGACACTTAAGAGGACCAGAAGAGGACACCACGACGAGGACAAGAAGAGGACACAGCGTTGGCCAGCGCAGCCATGGAACAACAGCAGTTGGAGGACCTGTCCCGACACAGGCTTCACACGGCCAGAGACTGTTGCCAGCTCTTTTTCCGCAACGGAGAACTCCAACAAAAAAACTTGCTTGTGGACGGTGTTTACCCATCCACGGCAAATTCGAACAGAGCAGTGAAAGATCCTGCTTCAAGGTCGTTGCCGACATGACTAGCGACTATATAGTCGCTTCAAGACGTTTCAAGCAGATGACGTGCCATGCAGTTGTAGCCCCAGCACAAGTTGGGGCGTCATTGCTTCACCAGGTCATCCCCTAAACCCACCAGATGCGCAATTAGTTGCCTACCAACCAACCCACCGTGGATCCCGGCGCGTGCAAGTGCTGCCCATCCCCGACCTGCGGCCGCCGCTCGCCGCGCTCGGCGACGGCCTCGCCGGCGGCTGCGATGCCTTCGCGGCGGGGCCGGCGGAGCTGCCACCGGAGGAGCGGCAGGTCTTCCGGTGGAAAGGCACCACCGCGGGTCACACCATGGCACGGTGCTGGTAAAACGGGTTGAAACACGACGGGTGGAACAACGGGTGGATGATGAGTGGGAAAAGATGCGGTGAAAGGCAGATGTGTGTTTGAACAGGATCGAACACGTTCGTTTTCTGACGCTTCAAGGATCAAGAGGAGAACCCTTATTTGCATAGCATTACATGCATTGCTAAGCTAATATACAGTTGGCGTCGTCATAGCAGATGTAGAAATGTTTGGGTTGATAAGTTTGGGTTCATTCACACTTTTGAATCTTTGTCCTACCGCTTTGTACGAGGGGCGCCACGGGTGCAATTGTGCCAGTTATTTTGGATCACTGTGTTTTGGCTGAACTATGCACACCCCGCCTCGTAAGTGTCAAGGGCCGAGGTTACACCCTGCGGCAAGCTATTTGTGGCCCGTATGTTTAAGAAGTACTTTGGTTGAAATCATTCTACTCATTGTTGCATTGTTTTGTTCAAGCTGCAGTGGGCATTCTGCAAAACATCCTCTCTCACCTTGCAGCACTTCACAATTGCGGCCAACTGTGCAGGCGGCGAAACGGCGGCGTTAGAACACCTCAAGAGCTACATGGAGCCGCTGGTTCAATGAAGGTCGGTGATGTGGGGAGCAGAAAGCGGGTGTTCGAAGAGGTAGCATACATATGCATACATCCAGTATCATCCAGTCAGTACCTGGCCAGTGGCTCACCTTTGACCTGGTGAGGTTGGGTGTCCTTTTCCTCACAGAATTTGTTGACACAGTGTCATTTCGTGACTATGGTGAATCAAGTCACCTAGTCTCGAGTTTGAAAGCCTTCAAACGTGACGGTTTCAGAAGCACGTTAAGAAATTTTGGGTTCCAGTCAAACGAAGTGAGCCCCAAACATCTTTGGCACGTTCATGGAAAGCTCACACGGACCACCAGAACTATAGCTAGGAATTTCCACAGTTCGTTGAAAGAACACAGTATCACGAAAGACTCCAAACACGCTAAGAAGATCACAAAAAATGATACCAACAATTGAAGCCATTCTTGATCCATTCTTGAGGAGACTCCAGACCTGCGACCCTTTGTTGTTCGCTTCGCCGTCACCCCGACCATCCTCGCTGCCGTGGTACCGCGCCCGTTGAGGTCCGGTGCCCTGGCGCGGTACCGCGGCGCCACCGAGTCCTTCGCGCACGGCAGCGACAACCCAGCACCCCGGACACCGGTGGGACCGATGGGTGTTTGAATTATAGCCTGGATCCTTTTGGCTTATCATTTAGGTCGTGCTTTGGCCTGTTTGTGTGTTCTGACCCCGCCTTACTCCTGATGCTATATGAATCCTGGGGACGCTATTTATAGATCCTGGGTTTTCTCATGGTTTTGATTCGAACTCCTTGGTTTTAATAAAACCTTTCTCCAGATCGAGGTTTTCTCATATAGGCCTGATGTAGCACCACGTGGGGGCGGTCTACAAGGCAGAGCACAGAGTACCAAGGACAAGTTCTCGGCACGGGCACTGCAGGTTGGTTTTGACCCGGTCGATACTAAAAAATTCGTAACTATCCCTTCCTCTAAAAAGGAAGCCAGTGCACCCATGCAATTGGGGCAGCCGAGGGTCAACACACTGGAGAGCAATGACTCCGTGTCAGAAAGGTACGAACAGCATTGGAATATGTGATGCTCCTTGCTGATACACATCATCAGCTGGGTGGGTTCCACCAAAAGGATTGAAAACACCTTGAGGGACATTGAGGACTGGTTGCCCCAGGCAACCTCGAAAAAGGTCAGCAGCCACCGGCGTATCGGTACGTGCTGGCTAGCTGGCCGGCCTGATGTATGCAAAAAAGGGGCGTGGGGGCTCGATTCTTCTCAATGCATACCCCCAAACCGGGCTGGCAGAAGGTGATCTCTTGAGAAAGGTGGGGAAGCCCTTCAAAAAGGGCCGGCAAAAAACACCCTTGAAAAAGGGCTGTCCCAAACCCAATCCTTGAGAAAGGATGAGATCAAGCAATGCTGCGTCATTGGAGCGCCTACAGCTCAAAGATCCAGGTAACCACGATGTTGCCAGTGGCTGGTTCTGGACCGGGCCAATGGCCGTCACTGTGTGAAGCCGTGCAATCGGCTTGCAACGCAGCCCTCCAGCTCATGAAGAAGTTGTACACTGCCAAAAACGTTTCAATGTCAGACTTGAAGGCATCGGTGCAGCCTCTCCAAGCCTCTTCCCAAGGGGTAGGAAACATGATGCCTTCATGGATCCATGCATATCGGCTCCAATTGATTCTCTCTCCGCTGTTGCTGTTGCATGCTAAGAAGATCAGCTCACATTGAAGGGCACGCTCAACGAATAGGAGTTGACCCCGCGTCGCAGCAAGAAAGCCAAGCCCCCGCGGCCGTCCACAGACTCACCAAAGCCATTCGAGATGATCTCGATCCTCCCATATGCCCAAAGCGGCCCCTTGGTCAATGTGGACTTCGAGCCCGATGCCGAAGCCTTTGTCCTCATCCTCGACCACATCGGGAACAAGACGTGCTGTACCAATTCAAAGACCACGTCACTCAATACTTGACGTTGTGTGCGCAGGACTCGTCGACGCCCACCAGTCTACATGGCCTGGTAGCCTGGACCGCTCGCAAGGAATGAGCAAGGGGCCGTAGCAGGGCCCAGAAGGCCTGGATGGCCTTCTCTACCAAAGGGAGAGCCCTGGAAGCCGCAATGGCAATGGCTCTTCATACATCTCCCATTTGATGGGATAGATCGAACGACGCGATCCAGCACACCAACTCCGGGGCGGCATGCGTGGCCAATCTGCTACACCTAAACGTGGCGGGGGTCGATCTGCTATCAACCGTGGCGAGATACAATCCCTGCCACAACAAATTGCCAAACAGCCTATATACGTGGGCACCAGCTATGTACTCTTTTTGATTCATGACACTGTGAATGACTGATAATGGCTTCATGCCACATCCTTGAAATGATGACTCATTCACTGCACTGTCCCAAACTGGCGCCTTTTCCAGTGGCATGCGCCACGCGCCCGCACCTTAGATCACTCGGCTCGAGCGCTTTGGCGTTCAGAACTTGCGTTTTAAGAACTTGCGTTCCAAACGCACGAGCCGAAAAAGTATTCCGGCTCGTGCGTTCAGAGCCCGAAGCTCTTGAGGGCTTGGGTCAAATGGTCGAAGAGGCGACCTTGGAACGTGTACAAGGTGGATCTCAGCAATGCTGCCACAGGGATGAGCAGATCATCATTCGGTCGTCGAGTTTCATATGAGCCCAAATGGTTCTTTTCCAGAGGCTCTGCTGTCCGAGAGACCATGTTTTCCTTTATTCCGACCTTCTGGGTTTTGGAGGACAGGGGCGGGCGATGACGTCTTAAAGTCTTAAACTGTGTTTCCGTCCCTTTCCTTTTTTGAGGTGTTAGAAAAGAAATGGGGACTGGAACCTTGATCTGCGTTGAAATGGCGCTTACTCGTGGCTCCAAGTCGGCGGCATTGAGTGCTGCGCGGCAGCGGCTGTCGTCCTGGCAATGCGCTGTGCACGCCGTTAGCCTCTACATTCGCAACGAGGAGGAAGTGACTGTGAAAGCTTGCCGCTGCTGGCTGGACAGAGCCATCACTCCACATGTCTACGAATGGACATACCCCACAGACACAGATGAGCTGCCTCCGGGCCTTGTGTGGCGCACCAGGAATCTTCACTTTTTCTGTTCCTGCCATGACTGTTGCACGGTCAGGAGCAGAGGGGGGGCGCTCAATGAGTGCCAAACTTCGTGCATTGCTCTACCAAGTAGCCACCTATAGTTCAGGAATGGCCAACCATCCTACGTGATGAAACAGATGGGGCTATGGATTTGTTTCGCTCAGGGCCGGACAAGGCCAATCCAAGCGTTTCTGGGCTTTGACGTCCAGACATGAGAGTAGGCTGAAAGTTGAGACGAAGATGATGGTGACAAACGTGCCGGCAAATTTGCATTTGCTGTACCCAAATGCACCCTGGTTTGAACCCGCAAAACTTTCTGCTTGGGCGCCTTTCAGCGGAACGTCTTGAATATTAAAAACAATATAACAACTATAAAAATGCCTAAGCATCTCGCTCAACCCGTCTGAAGAGGAAGCTTGGTCCCAAGTGGCAAGTTCCGGAGGTGCAGGGTCGCAGGCCTGCAGTGGCTTCTTTGGCGCCAAACGAGCCAGCAGACTCTGATTCGGATACCTCCTCTGACTTATCTTTCTCTTCCTGGGAATCTGGTGCGCCGTTTGCTCCGGATGAACCGGATGAAGCTGCTGCAGATCCTGTCGTGGATGAATTGTTTGCCGCAGAGCCTCCTGCTTCGGAGGCGGATCTGCTCAAGAATTTTGAGGAGTTCCTCCAGGCCACGGCACGCAGGAGCCGCTGCATCGAAAACACGTGACGCGCTGCACGAGCTTTTTCCAATCGATTGAAAAAGGAACCTGGATAAGCCTTTTTCCACATACTCCCTAAATGAGAGCCCCTGTGGCCCGCACCAAATCTGCGTCAGGTGGGTCAAAGGACACATTTTGTGAGAAGATTGATTATCGACCTTCCTGCGCAAGGCATGCTGTTGTACCTCTGCTCTTGAACGAATCCATGAGGACAGAATGAGTCCATAGTCGTCTCAAAACCCAAGAAAAACGAATGCCACCTACCTGAGATCCATGAGGCGTGACAGAATGAAAGTCTCTGGTCGTTCTCAAAAGTCAAGAGACTGGTGCCACCTATCTCCGCTCCAAGCTTCCTTATATAAGACAAGCGTGCCCTCCCACATGTTTGTATATGCAGCTGCAGGTCACATACATGTATACAGTTCCACATACAGGCCATGCCATCATGAGCGCAGTCATCGTCCAAAAAGGTGGTTTGACTGGTATATATATATATATATAATATCTGTGCAGCCCCTCCCCCCAGCACAGGGTGGCACCCTCCTCCCCGCAAAAAATCGGCGCCTGCAAAAGGAAAGTGAAGCAAAACAGATAACAAAAAACAAAACAAAAAAGAACAATAACAACCACTCCAAACAACAAGTTGTGGAAACTTCTAGCGGCTACTTCCTAAACCTGAAAAATCAAACTGCAAACTCAAACAGAAGAAGAAACGATTCAAAAAATGAAAAGTGTAGAGACAAGAAACAGATCGTCAAAAAGCTGTGGAAACGCTTTTGCGGACACCTCGCAAAAATCTTGAAAACTTGCACTGCAAACAACCTCGGAAAAATAAGTCTAAGAAGGAAGCAAATTTTATGTATGCAATGTTCTTTGCATACTTTTTTGGCTACCCGCGTGCACCGTGCAGCAACAACACCCCACCGCGAAGTGCACTTAACACGCTGAAGAAGTTCCAGTTAACCAACACACATAAACCACCTAAGTTACTTGCCCCACATGCTCGCAAAAACGGCAAACAACTTGCGAAACTTAGCGCAAACTACTTACCTGGAAGGCTGAGTGGATACTAAGCTGCATTGTTACTTAACATAAATCTACGCATTTACATGTTGACGCTAAGTACTTAATGAATGTTACAAATATTTATATTGACTGGTTTATATGTAGGTTTAGCCATGTTGTAAACAATTGTACTGAAGGTATAAGTTCTTTTGGGTAACGTGTAGGTTCACAGCTAAGCACACAATCCGCTGTAGCCACTTAGCAACCACCGCGGCCATCCAGGGTCTGCATGATCGGGGATTTACGTGATTCCGCGATATGACTTGGATCTTTGTTGTGGACCTGCGGGATCTTAAAACCTTCACACTGGGATCTGAGTGATTGCTGCCAGAGTGTTTTCGTCAATGCTCCATCAGGTACTTTGCAAGTCAGGCAGTGCAGCTTTGTATACATGTGTATATAACACTGAAATCAGAGCACTCAAATTTGGCTGATGCAAGGTAATCGGTGGTGTGGACAAATTACACTTTAAGGCCCAAGAGGCAGTCACCAAGCCGAAGAGCATGATTTCACTTTGGGAGTAACTCGGTCCACCAAAGATAAACCTGCTTACGGCGTTCGTGCGCAAACAAAAGATTTCGAGCAACTCTGGCAAATTCTACGTCCATTGGACCCGTAGCCACCACAATTCAAGTACTTGGTGAGACTATGTGGGTTGGCAGTTCTTGATTCCGTTGCCCTGTATGCACTGTTCGTTGTTTTCGTAGCTTTGCTGTTGTGGTGTGCGCATATCTGCTCTGTACCTTTTAGGGTTCTTCTCACCTGGATTCATTGCTTGGCTAACCCACCAAACCCCGCCAAAATTTGGCAAGCGGCTGTGTGGGTGCGAGACGTCGCGAGTGTGTGCGTGCGTCCAAATGAAGGTGCTGGGTATTACACATGTTGGATCATAATGGTTCTTTTCCATAGGGCCATAGCCCGTTTGGCCTCCTGTCGTACCTTCTGAGAAGTTGGAACTGGGGAGGGTGCCATGTTCAGGTTCCGTCATACCTTCTGAGGAGGTACGACTGGAGGTGTAGGCAGGGTAGGGTAGGGGTGTGCCTTCTCCCCCATTGTCCACCCCGCACATGAAATACGAAGGGTTCAGCTTCCCAGGTGAACGGTGGCACGCGGCTGAGCCCTTGGCTGGCCTTCGGCTGTCTCTCCGCGCGGATGGTTGTCAAGGAGGCCTAAACATATATAGCGCATAGTGCAGGGCATGGATTGGGTGGATGAGTATCCCAGGTACTCCATGTATATTTGCCGACATTGGGGTAGTTACTGGGTCAATGTAGGTAGATCACGAAAGGTAGCCCTTTAGGGGATACCTTAAGTTTGTCTTGCGAAGCAAGTGTTGGCGCGTCCGGGTCTAATAATTGATCATTCAATTCAA